AGGTCTGTTTAGTCAGTGTTGAGACTTTGCTGAACAAATACATTTTTGAGTCATCTGCCATTCTTTTCTATTTCCTCTGTTGTTTTGATGTTTTTGAGTTCCTTCTGTTGGAAATCTGAAAATAAAGAGTTTACTGTTTAATAGTGAAGCATTAAACAATCACAAACTTGTAGTCATACTGGGTGGCTTTTAAGTGTGAGAGTGTATGAATAAATAACTCCTGAACAAAAAGAGGCTTTTCATGAAGCAAGCTTCAAAAAGTTGGCTTATGTAGGGAAATTCCACATTAACAGCAGCTCCATAAAACCCATTTAGAAATGACTGTAGGTCATCAGTCTCATCTCTGGGACAAACAGAGGTCTCACCAATTCACAATAAAGAAACCTGATCCTGTTGATCAGTAGCAATGAGCTCAGCCACCCGTGGAAATGACTTCTGTCCCACTCAACCCCCCTCTTGGTTCAGTCATTTTCGCCAGTTTCCAGATCATCTGTCATGAATGACCGTGTTCCCTTTCTGCATAATCACTGTTAAAAAGTAACTTGTTGCACAGACTGTCACGTAGTCAGGCCCAGACACATTCTGTATGATTTGCATTTTGAGCCCTGCTTCATAACTATGAGCATTTGTTGGAAATGTCATTTAAACATATACCATGCAGTGAAAAATTTCCCCCTTCCTGAGATCTTTTTCTTTTAATTTTTGCATATGTAAAAGGTTTAGGATTATCAAACAAATTTTATTATTGACAAAGCTCATCCAAGTAAGCACAAACTACAGTTTTTAGAAGATCTTATTTATTAAGGTGAAAAACAACTTTCCAAATATACATGGTCCTATGTCAAAAAGCGACTTTCCCCGTTTGCTAAATCATGAATTAAGTGTGACTAACTGCATTTTTTTTTTTTTTTGCAAGCTGATTTTAATTCCTCCACAGTGACGTGAATAACTCATTGCCAGTTCTTTACTACGGCGACTGTAGACAGCTGGAACAGCTGTGGCTCGCAGACACAGCGTGGGCCAAACTGTGCGGTTTATGTGTAACAGTTTGTGTTTGGTGAAATTTGCTGAGCAGTTTCAGACACTACATTTGAAGTTAGCTGCCCCTTGCTTACTTTGTACTTCTGTAGCACCAGCTACATGATGAAACGGCTTCATTAACTGAAGGTGCTCACTTTAACCACCAGCTGTAAAGACTATCCTTGTGGAAATGCTGTGTCAGTCCAGCAGGTACTTTTTTAATCATGAAGGAAAGCTCTTACTGCGGGCCACTCTAATTTAGGTGACTTTCCCATGATAAGTCTAGTTAAACCAGATTAATTTCTTAAACTAAACCTCTTACTGGTAGATAATCTTTATCAACATTATAAAACGCCCTGTAATTGTATTCCTAGACTAAGACGTATTCAGGTGTAGTGAACATGAGACGTAGAAGATCGAAATGACTCACGCCGAAATAAATACATTAAAAATCTGTACATAAATTAAAAAAAAAACCTTTAATTTGACCAATATTTTACAATTAATCTACATATAGTATACTGTTAGTTTTTTTTTGTTTATTTACCCATTATTTAGTTATCATTTATCAATATTTCCAGTCTTTTCTCTCTATGTTAATATTTATGGAAGTCCTGCACCACTTGCATAACCTTGTTCAGAGTCATTTTCAAGAGTTAAAAACATAGATTGTATATAAAAGAGGAATGTTGTGATATTACCATCTTATAGCTACAGATACCTCCTAAGTGCTAAGTAATATACAAATAATGCACAGCCTCTTGGGCAGGCGAACAACACACTGTATTATTATTATTTATCACGCCATTCTGATAAAATTGTTTAAAAGGCACCAACAACACAAACACAGGAGTGAGGATAGGTCAGAGGGAGAAACCAGGCCACCTACAGCTATCTGTGTCTGTGCGCCTGTCAAACAAAGCAGCCATGCTGCTATGTGTAGCATCTTCCTACTCAGCTGACCCAAACACACACGTTCATATATTGCTTTTATCTATACCTAAGGACTTTCTTACAATTTCACACACACACACACACACACACACACACACACACACACACACACACACACACACACACTCGGGGGTCAGTACCCAAGGATCCTGCAAGACAACCTGCTCAACCACCTGAACCAAAGTTGCCCAGATGCAAAACAATCCAGCATCGCAAACAGACTCTGCAGACAGTCTGACCTGCAAAAACTATTAATTTTCAACATTTTTTCTGATGAAAGTATGTTAATGTATATTAGTTTGAGGACCGAACTTTATGCAAGTCAGTGTGAGGAAGACTGTTCTGTTTTTTTGTACCCATACTTCTACTGTTATGAAATTATTGTCCACCTAGATTTTTTATCTTTTTTCCAATTACTGAACTAAAATAAAAATTGTTTGTTTGGTTTCTCTTCCTTCCCCATAGATTAGACAGAGAGTGTTAAACACACACTTAGCGGGTCTGTCGCCGTGCTGTGGCACGCGCTATTTACAAGTGTAAACACTCCCAAACTTCCCAGCAGCAGTATACACATGCACGAGGACACTCCTCAACTTACAGCGCGTGTCTGGCCCCTCCTCATCGTGATCCCGTTATCAAAACATCAGCCTCTACTAGATACAGTAGCTGCTGAGAGCGAAGCAGTGACAGAAAGCAGTCCGGCTGTTTGCAGAGAACACCTGGATCTGTTCAATTATGGACGCTTCGATAAAAACAGCAGGAAAATGCACAGAGGCAGCGAGGGGGGATTTAAAGGAAGGTGAAGTGGCACAGAGCTCCCGCGGCTGTTGCCAGAAATGTGTCCCTGGATTCATTCCGGCAGTTTACCGCAATGAGCTTGTGCAACTTTTCAAACTAGCGGGACCAGTGGTAAGACTGTGTGGACACAACAACTGAATAGCTATATTTAACTGTAGTGGTGTTTTTATTCTGACATTATTTGGCATCCCTCTTTGTCGCTCTCTGTGTGATGTTACTGACAGGAAGAGCTGATTTACTACAGACGTTGTGCCATGTGTCAGTAAACTTGGGACTCGTTCTTAAGACTGTGTTATATCTCGTCCCGTTTGTTTAAACTAAACAAACCCGGGACTGTAGGACCGAGCTGTTTATATCTGTTTAGTTGCTTAGACAGGTTTGTGTTAGGTTTTGTATTGTTGGTTGTCATTTATGCTTAGAAATATTTAACCATGTATGCTTAGAGGTGTATAATTAATTGTGTAGTGATAGGTTGTGTGATCTTTAACAGGCTGCAGAGGCTTGGTGTGTATTCCACACTAGAATGCACACCCACATCCTGGGAGCACGAGAGAGGTCGTACCTTCTCTTATTGTTTTATGGTAGGATTAACGTAGCTACGTCTGTTCTAGTCTAAGTGCTTTTTGTTTAGATGAGCTGCAGGACTTCCTCACCGTGTTATCTAGGGTGAACCATATAGGGTGAGGGGGGGGCTACCCTCTTCCCGTGTCAAGGATGTTTGCCTTTGTGCTTTCATGTATATGACCCTTTGATCAGCAGTACCACACACACACACACACACACACACACAGTATTCTTTGTTCACATGTATACCTATGTAAGATGCTACTGTATATGTTAATGACCCTATGCATATTTATGTAACCACAATAAAAGGAGTGCTATGGGGAGCCTGGCTGAGAGTCTGATGGAGGTCAAGTGGTGGGACGACACTTGGCTCTAGGCAGGTCTCCCTCATGCATGAGTAAACCAGAGAACTTTGGTGCCTTGTGTCTTGCTTTGCTGTGTAATATATATTGTCTTCAACGTTCCAGCGAATAGGTTCAAGCTACATACCTATCAGTTTGGCATCATGTTTATTTAATTTTAGATGCATTAATTGTGTTTTTATGGCTTATTTGGATTATATGTCAAATTAGTCCAGATTTTGCTTAAAGCTCAGCAACATACATTTGCTTCAATATTTCTTAAATGTTTAACATCCTTAAGTTACTAAATGTTTTAACCATATTCATTACTTATTTATTTTTCCTTTAAATGTATTTC